TACGTAACACAGAATTTGGGGCCATGGAGAGGCACCTAGATTGATGAGTATATCACAGTGATGAAAAGGGAGCCTCTGGGAACCACTGAGGACCTGATGGATGACAGTCATCCTGGGATCAAGTTTGGCCTCAGGGAGATCCCCATTTGAGGTTTCCTCTCTCTTTGGTGCAAAACAAGTCCAAGGGAAGGGGAAGGTACAAGAAGGAGAGAAGCCTCCACAGGTGCCAGAGATTTTCATTTTAGATTCATCACAAGTGGAAAGCACCTCATTTTACAGATGAGGAACTAAGACAAAACAGGTTCCACAATTAATTATCAAACTGGAAATATACAACATATTACAAAATGGCATAAATAGCTGAATACTTGGTCTGCATATACCAAAGTATTTATGCAGTTGTTTCTACGCAGAAGTATGACTAGAGATTAGATTTTCCTCTATATTCTCTATGTTCTCCTCCCGGCAGCCTGAAAGACTTTTCTGAAGCACAGAGCTGAACAGGTTACTTCCTGGCTTAAGTTCCTTGAATGGATCTCCTTTGCTCTCAGAAGGAGTTTCATATTTCCTCTTATGGCCACAACAACCCCTGCATGATCTCTCAGGGATGGAAGATAGACTTTTAGAACAATCCACAGGTGGGATGTCTAACAGGAGTGCCCTATGAAAAGTTGGGGCCTCAAAAGACTAAACCTTTAGTGTATTTCTCACTAGTGAGAAATAAAACCACCAAGAAATTGATCAAGCTTAGATCTGGGTGATGAGAAATTTTCTCTTGAGAATTTGTAGCCATGAGACACATTGTGGTGCAAATTCGCACAAGCTATGGTCTCCCTAAAACATCAAATGACAGGTGGGGTTTCTGGGGACATCCTGATAGAGGAGAGCCATGCTGGGAATTTCCCCCAGTCAATTAGCAAAAGAAGGTACAAGTCTTCTCTGGAGGAACTCAATTATAATTCAGACCTCCAAGAATTCCCACAAATAAAGTCCCAAGGAAAGTGAGCAGGCAATAGTCAAAAATTACAAATACATATAGAAACAAGGCACCATATGAATGTGACAGAAGAAATAAGAGACGGTAAAATCAGACATACGTAGACTTCAGCGTTGGAATTATCAGATGGAGAATTATAATACTGCTATAGTGAACAGGGTTAGACATAAAAGAGAGAATTGACAATGTGAGCCAGCATCAGAAGCAAGACAAAAAATGGCAAAGCAAATTTAAAAACAAAATCTCAAGTCCAACTTCTAGAGATTAATAACATGAAAATTGAATTTAACGTTCAGTGGCTGGATTAAACAGAAGATTAGACACAATGGAAAAGAGACTAGTAACCTGGAAGATACATCTGTAGAAATTACCCAGAAAGCTGCCTAGAAGACAAAAAGATAGAAAATAAGAAAGAGACATTAAGCGATACAGAGACTAGAAACTCTAATACATGTCGAATGAGACTTCCAGAGAAATAATAATAAGAAAATGATCATAAGAGCTAACAAGTATGTAGTACTGACAATATATCCCTGTCACAACAAACCAATAAGTAGGTAATAATGTCATCCCCATTTTATAGATGAGGAAATTGAAACGTTGAGAAGTTACAACTGTCTAAGGTCACTTAGAGATGTCAAGTAGCCTGGCTCCAGAATTTGTGTTCTTAACCACAACACAGTATTTGAAGGGAAAGAGCAGAAAATTGTTCAGAAATGTGAAATGACAGCAATCTTGAAATCCAGGAAACACCACAAACCCCAAGCATGATATAAAAAGAAAGCCACTAGACACATTTTGGAGAAAGGAAAGCCCCAGAGAAAAAGGAAATCTCTTAGAAAGAAAAAAGGCAGATCACTGCAAGTGAATGGCAACTTGACTGATGACCAATCTCACAGCAGTAAGCGGCAGCTAAAGATAATGGATGTTCAACGTGCTGGGGGACAGTAACGGTCACCCTATACAATTCCAGCCTGGAAGAACCACCTCTAGAAAATGAGGGTGGACAATGACATTTGCAGACAGAGACAAATTAGAGCCCTTACCACCCCTAGACTCTCATGAAAGGAACTTCTAAAGAGCATATTTCAAGGAATAGAAGATGTGAGATGTGAAATGGGAGAACAGAGTCAAAATAACGTACTGGAGCACAGTAGGTTGGGAAGAAGAAGAGAGAAGCTAAGGCTTTCTAAGGTCTTGGTGTTGTTTGTGAGGAAGGCAGACTTCTGAGGACAGTTGTACAGTTTGTACACTGCACCAAAGTACAAGGCAGAGGAGGGGAATGGGGGCTGAAATACCATCTGCTGGTTAACCCTAGTGTCCAGGTGCAGGGCTGTGACGACATAGCTACCACACTGCGGGTGGCCCTTAGACTTGACACAAATCTGTAAAATTGCTACAGTAGTTGCCTGGAAAATAGGGTGTAAAACTTTCAGAAGAGTTGAGCACACACACAGAAAAAAACCATCTTCTGAAACACCAGTGACATTCTGGGCAGTACCAAAGAACTTCCTCTTCTGCTCCCATCTTTTGAGAAATCTTTTAAGAACAGGAAGATTTAGAGATCTGTTCCTGGTAAGCTGATGATCTTAATGACCCTTCCCTCAATTTTCACAGGGTTGCAGGAGCACCTCTCACCACTGTAGGTCTGTGTGAAGAGTCCTGTGAGCAGCTTCCCTTGTGGGGCAAAGTTGTGCTTGGGAGCGCCAAGCACAAGGGCGTGCCGCTTTCCTCATGCACTCTTTGACACACAGTACCCAGCTTTCGGATATTTGAAAATCCAGAGGTGAAAAGATCTTGATAGAAATTCAATTACCCTTTCTCATCAGTATGAGAGTAGGTTTTAGCATTTTTTTCCTCATGTTTAAGAAACATGGATTTTCTAGGAACTGAGTTGGTCATTTTCTGATTAGGTTGTTAGGGTTCTTTCTTAGTAATGTGTAGGAGATTAGATACAGATATAGATATTTTTTGTCCAAGATATGCATTATAAATATTTTTCCCAGTTTGTTATTTGACTTGTTTATGGTGGTCTTTTCCATGCAGAAAAGGTTTAATTTTTAATTCTTTTTAATCAGTATTTTTATTTATGGCTTCTGAGTTTTGTGTCATGCTTAGGAAGATCTTCCCCAGTCTAGGATTATAAAATAATTTTCCCACATTTTCATCTAATTCTGTATGCTTTCCTTATTTAAATATGCAATTCATTTGAAAGTTAACACTGTGTAAGATGTGAGGTATGATTCCTACGAAATTTTACCCTTGATGGCTTCCCAGTTGCCCAATAATGTTTATTAACTTATTATTTTTAAGATTTTATCTCTGCCCCCTCTCATTTGGAATGGCCCCTCTATCACATGCTAGATTCCATACGCATTTAAGTTTGATTCCTGAGACTTTCTGCCTTGCTCCATCAATCTCTCTGCCTGTTTTGTTTTGTTTTGTTGTGTTTTTTTAAGTTACCACCTCACTGTTGTATTCACTGAGGGTTTAGAATACATTCTAATATCTGGGAAGGCTGAGCAGTCCTTATTGCTTTTTTTTTTTTCCAGAAGTAGTTGAGCTTTCATTTTATTATATTTTCTAACTTTTCCTATATAGGAAAGCTATTGTTTTCTGCAGAGTAATTTCGTACCTAGCTACTTTTCTGAGCTACCTGCCTTTGTGGTTGTTTCTCAAGTTGATTCTCTGGGCTTTTCCAGGTATTCTATCACACCATTCTCCCTCAAACCCACACATTCAATTTTCCAGCCTTACTATCCACTAGAACCATGCATGTCAAGATAGGCTGTGACTCCTCATTGTATATCCCAAGGTCAATCCTTAGTCTTCATCTTATTCAATCTTTACAGTAAAATTGACACTATTGCTCACTCCCACCTTCTAGAACGAGACTTTCAGTGCCATCTCTGGGATACTATGCTTTCCTCGTTTACTCTTTCTTCAGTAGCTATTTCTTGCTAATGTGTTGGCTGAGTCCTCCTCTTCTTCCAGGTCTCTGGAGGTTGGAGGCCCTAAAGCTGAGTCTCAAAGCTTTTCTCCATGAACACTCACTCCCAGGGTGAGCTCACCCAGCTCCTTTGGAACATAAGGGGCATGGCCTTGTGTTTTATTTATCATCACATTTTCTGGCACAGTACAGGCACACAGTAGTGCTGGGTAAATGAATAAATGAGTGAATACATTTTCCTGATTGTCTTAAATGCTTCATAAGTTTTCAAAGCAAATGACAAGTAACTCACTTTGGTGGCAGCGTGGGCACATGAAAAAATTCATAGGAGCTAAGACTGAAAATATTGGTTGGCTCTAGGTGATCTGAAAATAATCTAGCTAACAGATTTCATGCTGTAGAGGGAGAAAGGTGACAGAGAGTGTGTGTGGTATGCTAAACTCCTTATCCTTTATAAAGGAACTCAATATACCCTGCTGTTGATACTGAAGAATCAAAAATTAAAATGTAGTTTTTTTATTATATAAAGTTATGACATTAACTTCTAAAAGAATTGAGAATGGAAACTGAAAACATTGTTTGCTAATGGGGAAAGAGATTAGGAGAGACTTTACATTTTACTTTATACACCTCGGTGTCATCTGAAATAAAGTTAATGTGCATACATTACTTCCATGATTAAATTTGAAAAGATCAAGTGAGACAGGCCATGCAGGGCCTTAAATGCCAAGCAAACTATTCTTTAGCTATGAAAGCTCACATTGCTTGCTGGGTTTGCTTCCTGCACAGGCTTATGGAGAGCAGTGAAAGGCTCAAGGACAAACATTCCTCGCAAGGAGGGGGACTGGATGGGGTAGGATGAGGACAGAATGAGATAAGTGATCGGAGTCAGGGCACTTGCAAAACATCTCATGAGGTTTCTTGTCTCACCCATCTCCAGGATCTCATTTGCTAGCACCCTTAGCGCAGGAAATCACAGGCGCTGTACAGTATCTTGATAAGCCTCACTCAGTCACCAGGCTTCTCTCTTGCTCTGCCCATCCACAAGGTAAAAAGGCATTCTCTGCTATTTATCAATCCCAGTGAAGCTCTTTCTTGTCTACTCACCACCTCCAGCAAGAAGAATGGTGCTAAGGTAAGAGTCTGTTCAAGAACTCTCTTCGATCAAAGGCAGATTTGTTTCCTCCCCATTAGTGCACAGGCTCATGACTTCACCAGGTAGGGCGTGCAGGGAGCAGGGGCACCCAACAGCAAGAGTCGGGAGACATGAAGCTCCCTCATGGAGGTTTTAGGTGCTGGTAGCTTGGACTATGGGAGAGCCAAACGGAGTCAACCAGGTTCTTTTTGCAGCTGTTCTACCTCCCTATATGCTTCTTTTCCCTCCAAACATTCAAATCTACAACTATGGAGAGAAATATATTGCTAATTTTAATTTAGGGAGCAAGATGGCATGCTGCTATTGCATTCCAAAGCTAAATTGTTGTTAACCTCAGGTTTCACAGATTTGTTTGCTATTCAGCGTGTTTTGTTTTGTTGGTTTGCGGGGGGTGGGGGAGGGAGGTTGTGTTTGTTCTGGGTTTTTGTTTTTTTGTTTGTTTGTTTTTGGTATCCTTATATTTGGCATTGTCCCAGCAGAAAATACAGGACATAACCTAATGGGGTAACTGAGAAGAGTTTAATGAAGGGACTGATTATAAAGGTGTGGGCAGAGCTTAGGGAAATCTACAACGGACGCTGAAGCCCCCAAAGACAAATCGTAACAGAGAGTTGTTACCGTTGCTGGGCTTGAAGAGGAAAAGGAGGGAGCAGTTACCAGAACTCAGGGAGGGTTGTGGCTGTAGCTGCAGTTGTGTCTGTGGCTGAAGAAAAGGGCCACCAGACAGAGGCTCTGTCCTCACCGCCACTGCCAACTCACAGTCTGGCAGGGAGAGAGCCAGGGAGCTAAAAGCCCCACATCACTCTCTTCCTGCCCTCCAGCCTCCTGTCAGTGTCTCCCTCACACTGAACGCAAGTAGGAACCAGAGGGAGAGGGAGCACAGAGACCAGTGAGGCACAGGACACACAGAAGGGTAGAGAAGACAGAAATGAGCCCTGATGGCAAATAAGAGAAAACCTACCTCTTCTTACAGCCGCCTCACTGTTGGTGTGTCCTGGGACTTTCTCTGTCTCAGTGCGACTGGATCAGTTTCTCATTGTGTCACCTCAGTCTGTGTCTTTGATTGCCTGTTTGTGTGTCTGCATCTACCTAGTGTCACTTCTTCAGCATGATCTCTCATTATCACCATAAATGCCTTGAGAATGGAGTATAGTCGTTGCTTTTTAAGGATGGGGTACACAGGTATTTGTATTCTGAGTTTGTGATTTGGGCTTCTCTAGAAATACATTATAAAAGTTACTTAAACTGTGGCCACCACACAGAGCTAGGCACTGGGGACCCACCAATGGATGAAAAAAGCACTTCCTGTCCTCATAAAGCTGATACACTGGGCCATTTCCAGCCCTGGAGGCCTGGCTGTACTCACACTTGTCATAGCAAGAGGTCACCTTCCCTTCGTGCCCCTAAATCATGATGTCCTTTCTCCCTGGTGGGTGCACCCTTCTTAGTCACTAAGACTGCCCACAGGTCATGCCTGAGGCTTCCAACTTCCTGGCCCTAAGAGGAAACCTCAGTTCCAGGCAGAAGGAACACTGAGCTCAGAGTCCCCCCTACGTAACCGGTCCAGACTTTTCTCCCCCTGCCTCCTGTGGCCTGGCAGGTTGAGTGGAGGTGACATTCCTCCATTCAGTAGAGGGTCTGTATGCAGTAGAGACGATCCAGGCAACTGAGTCAAAGAGAACTGGGTTTGAATCCAAGTTCCAGGACTCCAGGGCTGTGTAGACAACAGTAAGTATCTTCATATCTGGGGGCCTCCAGTTCCCTCCTCTGTAACATGGAGACAGTAATTCCCACGTAGCAGGTGCTCACGTCTTGTCTGTGTTCCCAGGGTCACCAGTGGAGGGTTTCTGAGCTTGGATCCAACCACCCCAGCCTGGGGGTCCGAACTCACATCAATGAATGTAAGTGGCCAGGCCCTTCCTGAAACTCTGGACATGGTGACCAGGACCCTGCTCTCACTGATGGTGGTCATTGCCGCGGGAGGACTAGCAGGAAACGCGACCGTGCTGTGGCTCCTGGGCTTCCGCCTGCGCAGGAACGCCTTCTCCGTCTACATCTTCAACCTGGCGGGAGCCGACTTCCTCTTACTGGGCTGCCAGATTATAACTTCCCTCAGGTTCATCAACGCCTTCCACTCCATCTCACTCTTCTACAACTTCTTCATCCCTGTGATGAACTTTGCCTACATCCAGGGCCTGAGCTTGCTCAGCGCCATTAGCACCGAGCGCTGCCTGTCCGTCCTGTGCCCCATCTGGTACCGCTGCCGCCGCCCCAAAAGCTTGTCTGTTATTGTGTGTGCCCTGCTCTGGGCCCTGTCCCTGCTTCTGAGCATCCTGGAAGGGATGTACTGTCACTTCCCGTTGGAGGATTTTCACCCTGATTTGTGTAAAGTGTTTGATTTCGTCATTGCCGGGTGGTTGATCTTCATATTTGCGCTTCTTTCTGGGTCCAGCCTGGCCCTGGTCGTCAGGATCCTCTGTAAATCCCAGCAGATGCAGCTGACCAGGCTGTATGTGACCATCCTGCTCACCACGCTGGTCTTCCTCCTCTGCGGCCTCCCCTTTGGTATCTACTGGTTCCACGTATATTGGATCATTCATGGTCCGTTAACATTCTCCTATTCTCACCATCTGATGGTTGGCCTGTCCTGTGTCAACAGCTGTGCCAACCCCATCATCTATTTCTTCGTTGGCTCCTTTAGGCAGCGGCAGCAGAAGAGGCGGGGATGGCAGACACTCAAGGTGGTTCTCCAGAAGGCTTTGGAGGGTGTATCAGAAGTGGATGGAAGTGAAGGAAGCTTTCCTCAGGAAACCCAAGAGATGTCGGGCAGCAGTCTGATGTCCTGATTCAGAGTCTCTGCTTTGATCAGATATATGTGGCTCTAGGGGGGAGGGTATAGCTCAAGTGGTAGAGCACATGCTTGGCATGCATGAGGTCCTGGGTTCTATTCCCAGTACCTCCTCTGAAAATAAATAAGTAAACCTCATTACCCCCCCCCAAAAAACAACAACAAGATATACGTGTCTCTGAGAGCCAACTTTCTCTGTATTGGTGTGGGAAGGTTTCTTAACTTCTCTCGGCCTCTGAGCCCCTGGTCTTAAAACGGTTAAAGTAATAATTTGGCTAGTGAGGATGGAGACAGTGCCTGTTACACAAACACTGAGTGTAGTGTCTCAAGGACTGTCTTTTCCAGGGGCCTTCTCCCTATTCCCATGGGAGCTTCACCAACTCTGGGGTCCAGGACTGTTTCCACTTTTGAAGAATTCCACCTTCAGCAGAAGCTGAAAGCAGTGCAGGAAAGATCTGAATTTCTTTGGTCACTGCGCTTGGTAGGAACTAAAAGAACATTACATTTTGACAAGTTTCTGTGGTCATTTTTTTTTACAATCTGTCTCCAAACAATTAAAAGAGTTAAAGTTCACCCTAGCCCCAAAGAGCAGTCTTGTTTGATTTCAGCAGGGCTTAGGATATCTTCCTAGCTCAATAAATATTTTTTGAATAAATAACTTAATGAGTGAATGAGATGAATTTTTAAGTCAATCTGTACTAAATTGCCATTTACAGATTTGAGTCACCATCTATAAGTTTGCTGCTTTCACCATTTTCAACTTTTGCAAGCATAAAGTTAAGGTTTATAACCTGATAAATCAACATCAAAGAGTATTTAAGGTTTGATGTGGGTTGTCTTTCTGTGGTTTCCTCTCACATGCCCTCCAATAGAATCCCATGTGCAGTCCTCCTCATTCTCACCCCTTTGCCTTTGCCCTGATTCTCCCCGCCTCGGGGCTCACTGATCCTTCATGCAGGTTTCCAGTGGGTTTTATTAGACTCTGTTCTCTGGGGACAGGATGTATGTCAGATTTACCTTTTATTCCAAAGAGCTCACAACATTGATTTTAGTAATCTAATTACACAAAAATGTTACCTGTTCTATAAAAGTAATATACTAAGCTTAAATGTTGCCTCTTAATAATTTTAATATTTTTAAATGGAGGTGTAATTAAGAGAGAGAGTTCACAGATCATTAGTGTACACAGTTCATTGAGTTTTGGCAGCAAATACACCCATGTGACTCAAACTCCAATCAAGAGATAAGACATTTTCATCACCTCTGAAAGTTCCCTCATGTCCCTCCAAGTCATTCCTCCTGCCCCAGAGGCAACTATTATTTCTATTTCTGTCACCAAAGATTACTTTTGCCTGAACTTTGACTTCATGTATTTAGATTCACACGATGTACTTTTTTGTTCCCACCTTCTTTCACTCAGCATAATATTTGGAGGATTTACTTGTGCCACTGCACTGCATATACCAGCAGTTTCTCCCTTTTATATAGCTAAATACTATTTCATCAGATGGGCGTCTACAGCTTGTTTTCATAGTGATAGATATATGTGTAGTATTCCACTTTTGGCTATTGTGAATAAAGCTGCTGTGACCATTCTTACTCATGTCTTTCTTGGAACATATGTTTTCATTTCTCTTGGATTAAAAAAACCTGAATTGAAATTGCTGGGTCACAGGGAGATGTACACTTGGCTCTATGAGAAATTGCTAAACTCTCTTCTAAAGTGGTGGTGCCAGTTCCCATTCCCACCAGCCATATATGAAAGCTCCAGGGGCGCTCCCTGCTCCCCAACAAACATGGTACTGCCAGTCTTTTGAATTTTAGTCATTCTGATGGGTGTGAAGTGGTATCTCGCTATGTTTTGATTTTCATTTTCCAAATGACTTACGAAATTGAGTATCTTTTCATGTGCTCACTGGCTACTTGTTTTTCTTTAACGTGTCTGTTTACATTTTGCCCATTTTCATTATTTATCTGCAAGAGTTAAAAAAAAAGCAAAAAAATACCATATGATATCACTTATATGTGGAATCTTAAAAAAAAATACAAACGAATTTATTTACAAAACAGAAACAGACTAAAGACATAGAAAACAAACTTATGGTTACCAGGGTGGGAAGGGGGTGGGAATGGATAAATTGGGAGTTCTAGATTTGCAGATACTAACTAATATACATAAAATAGATAAACAATAAGGTTCTACTGTATAGCACCGGGAACTATATTCAGTTTCTTATAGTAACCTATGATGAAAAATATGAAAACCAATATACGTATGTTCCTATGTGACTGATGTATTGTGCTGTGCACCAGAAATTGATACAGCGTTGTGAACTGACTATACTTCAATAAAAAAAAGACAAGAGTTTTTATATGCTGAATACGAGTCCTTTGTTAGTTATGTGTATTATAAATATTTATCCTGTTGGTGGTTTGTCTATTCATTTTTTAATAACTTTTATACTTTAAAGCACTTTTAGATTTATAGAAAAATTATGCAGAAATTACTGAGGGTTCCCATGTACTCCCACTCCTCCCCACAATTTCTCCTATTACTAACATTTTCCACTAATGTGGCACATTTATTCAAATTGATGAACCACTATTGATACATCATTATAAACTGAATTCCCTAGTTTACATCAGGGTTCAGTCTTTGTATTGTATAGTTCAGTGGGTTTGACAAATGCAGGATATCGTGCACCTACCATTACAATATCTCATAGAATATTTTCTCTGTCCCCAAATTAACTGAATTCCTATAGTCTTTTTTTTTGTTTTTTTTTGTTTGTTTTTTGTTTTTGTTTGTTTGTTTTTGTATTTATCCTGCTTGGTGGATTGGTGTTCTCTGAGCTACTTAGACCTGTGGTTTGGTGCCTGTCAATTATGTGGAAAATTCTTGGCCATTGTTACTTCAAATACTTCTGTTCCTTTCTCTCTTTTATCCTCTTTCTGATATTCACATTACACATATGTTACATCAGTTGCAATCATCCCACAGCTCTTGAACATTCTGTTCTGTTTTTTTTTTCACTCTATTTTCTCTTTGCTTTACAGTTTGGGAAGTTCCTATTAACATATTTTGAGGCTCACTGATTCTCTCAAAGGCTCTGTCTAGTCTACTGATGGCCTATCAAAGGCACTCCTCATTTTTGTTGCAATATTTCATTCTAGCATTCCCTCTTTCTTAGAGTTTCCATCTTTCTGCTTATATTGTCCATCTGCTCTTGCATGCTGTTCACCTTTTCCATTAGACTCCTTGGCATATTAATCACAGTAATTTTAAATTTCCAGTCTGATAATTCCAAATATCTCAGCCATATTCTAAATTCTTATATAGGGAATCTTATATGGGGAATAAATTGATCTTGTTGTTTATACTGATAAGTTAAAAATTGGAAATATACATTTACAATTCAAATCTATAACCACAACTAATAACAGAATTTAGAAGAAAAATTGAAACAAATTGTTGCTTCTGGAGAATAGGATTCAGGAAGACTTTCACCATTTATTTGAAACACTTCTATGTCAAATTGTAAATCTGCACACATTACTACTATAATCAAGAATTGGGTGGGATGGGCCATGGAGAACCTCGAATGACAGGTAAGGAGGGTGTGCTTTATTCTTAGCATTGCTGCCCAAGGACGCAGTTGGCAGCAAAAGACGCTACAAAAACAATCCCTTGCAGGGACCAGCACCCAATGGGGTGGGGAGGGACAGAGATTGAGAGATAGGAAAAGAGTTGGACCAAATGTTGAGAAACATCTCGTGAGGAGTCATGACTCAGAGAACTCCACGCTCTCATTTACCAGCAGGTCCCTGTACAGGAAATCACAGGGACTGTGCAGTATCTTGATAAGCCTCGCTCAGGCACCAGACTTCACCCCTGCTCCTGCTGGTACCTCTCCAAGGCAGACATGTGTCCTCTAGTGACTGTCAATCCCAGGAAGCTCTTCCCTTCAGCACAGGTCAGCCTGTCACCTCCAGCAAGAAGAATGGAGGAAACGTACACTTATCAAGTATTTATTTCCAAAGCCCCTGTTGGGTTTTTCCTGTTAGTGCACATTCACATAACTCCACCTAGGGGAGGAGTATTCAGGGAACCATAGGGGCTCCAGCAGAAAAAGACAGGAAAAAAGACAAAAGTCCCCTCCTGGCAACTTTGGGTGCTGGCAGCCTCAACTGTGGGAGCTCTAAATTGGGAAAACAACACTGTATTCCCTTATTGGGTCCTCTCCCTGTTCTCTCCTCCATCCCAACCATTTAAATTTGCTGTCATAGTGAGGAATTTGCTGCTTCCCTTAATTTAGAGAGTAGGATAGGAAACATGTATGCTTCTCAAAGCTAAACTGCTGTTACCAGATTTCACTGATTTCCTTGTTTTTCTAAAGTTTTCCCCTTTGTGTGTCTGGCAGTGTCCTAGCATAAAAGAAATGGCCCAAAGAGATGGAATGATTGAAGAGACTTTAACTAAAGAACAATTTATGAAGATGTGCAGGTTAAGGGAAAGTTTGAAAGGAATGGTGAAACCTCCAAAGGCAACCAATTGGAAGAAGCTTTTGCTAACCCTAGGCTGAGGGACAAAGGGAAGGATCAGTTACCAGAACTCAGAGAGGCTGAAGTTGTAACCATAGGTGTAGCTGTGGCTCTAGTGGGCCACCAAACAGGGACGATGTCCTTAAGTAGAGTAACACTGCCATTGCCAACCCACAGCCTAGCAGGGAGAGAGCCAGGAGGTAGATTAAAAACCCCTTATTGCTCACAGGCTCTCCAATTTCTTGTCAGTGTTGTCCTTTGACTGAAGTCAACAAGGATCCGTAAAAAAAGGAGCCCACTGATCAGGTACAGCGATGTATCCTAACTCAGGAGTGAAAATCAGGGTAGACAAGGACGAAAAGAAGACCTTGAGGGCCAGTGGGGAATATCCATCACCCTATTACACCCACCACACAAGCTGCATTCCCTGGGACTTTCTCTGTCTCAGTGTGCAATCTTCAACTGAACCTCCTCAGGGTTCTGTTTTGTTTTTGTCTCTTTGCATCTTCTTTCTTTAGTGTAATTTTAATGGAACAATCTCACTACCAACAAACATACCTTGGAAAACGATTGTATTAAGAAAAGAGGAAACATGTTCTGATAGGTTTTTTTTTTTGTTTAAGTAAACTTCTGCCCTAGAATGGTCTAATAAATGGTGGCTTGACAGTTTTAGACATGAGGGCTCCTTCCAGTTTGTTGCTCCTCCATCCCTAGAGAGGTTCTCTCATCTCAATAGTCCTCAGTGGCCTCAATCCTTCTTGTCACATCAGCATTCCAGGCTGGCAAGAGAGGCAAAATGACAGAAGTTCTTCCCTATAAGTAACTGCATTACATTTAAAGAATTAACCTCTCCCATCAAAAGACAGAGATTGGCATAATCAATTGATTATGGCAATAATCTACTTTAAATATATAGACACATGCAGATTAAAAGTAAATGAATGGAGAAAAATATACCATGTTGACACCAATTTTAAAAAGCAGGAGTAGCTATATTAATTTCAGACCAAGCAGACTTCAAAGCAAGGAAAGTTTCAGGGAAAAAGAAGGGCATTACATAATTATAAAGGGGCGAATTATCCAAGAAGATAGAGCAATTCGTAATGTCTATCTATACGCCTGAAAACAGCATCAAACTACGCAAAAGCTATCCTCCTAGCTCTGCCTTGGGGGTGGATCATGTATGATATTCAGGAGCTTTCTTCAAGAAAAGAGAAAAGATGTGAAAGTCCCTCATGGCACCTTTTGGGAGGTGTCACTCACAACTGTTTATTTATGCATGAATTCAACACACATTATTTAAACCTACTTGATAAAGCACTATGCTATTTCTATATAGAGTAAACGCCTTTCAAACAAATCTCTGGTTAGTAGACCTATCTGTATTGATTGATGTCCAGTAACCGCTGAGCCCTCAGGACCATTTACTAATTATCTAGTACATCTGGACATTACAGCACTGAGTCATCTGCTTCGCAAGAACCAATTGCGCTTGTTTCCAGTCCTGCTTGTGCCAGTTGGACTTGTTTATGTAATTACCTAATTTATCAAAATATAATGTAAATCAATGACGATGGAAAGAGAATTGTGGTTTCAATGAAAATTAATGTGAATGCTTAAAAGGGCAATAAAAGCTAGTCTCAATATTATTTTAATTTAATTAGGTATGAGCCTGACTATACAAGATTGAAAAAAATGCAGTAATACTGAAAAACATCATCAAGCAGAATGCTATACACATGCTATTAAGATCTCTCCTCTGATAAATCCAAACTACAAACCATAGACAGTGCTGAATGGATGTGCTTTCTGCAAGAAAGAGTAGAGCTATATTTTCTACTCCATAATCAAAGAAAAGTTCTCTCTCCTTTATTTTGGTGAGGAAATTCTGAGTTAAAATAAAATATTTATATTACAAATGTACCCTTTTTTATAATTGCCATTTAATAGACTGTCGCAATTAACCTGTCTATTTCTAGTCTTGAAGATATCATTAAGTAGGCTTCTCATAGAACAGTCTCTCAGTCATTCTTCTGTTCCCTCTATAAATAACA